TTTAACTCGGATCCCGGAAATTCTATTAAAACTTCTCTTTTTAATCCCCATTGATTTGCTGATGTCACATTTAATTTCAACGTAATTCGCGGACGTCAGGCTTAAACTAAAATTTATAGTATTTATTATCAGGCTATGATCCGTTCTATCGACTATAATAGTTATTGATACTATATTTGTGCTAAGCTTTGGCATTTTTGCATTAGCTAAGTGTTCATGTGCTGTGTTCTTTGTTATTGTATATCAGCTATTGGATTATAATTTATTTGTAATTGGATCAAGAATCTGCTAATGTACTAATGTGCGTTAGTGTAAATAGGAAGAAAGTTGACGTAAAAGTTTTAGTATTAGTTGTGGGCGTATTAGTAAGCCGAACGTCGCCATTTTCGTACTGAACGTGCAGATAGTTCTGGCAAATATTTTAATTGCAGGCTTTCCCAAATGTCTTCGCTAGATCGAAAGTTACACAGATAATATCCATTTTGTAGCCTCACATTCTTAATAGTTCGATGAAAGTTTTTACTTAATTTAAAGCACTTTCACAAAAGTTATAGATCAAAACGGCCCACATAACGGTAGAAATATATATATATATAGCCGGCATCTCGACGACAACACCAGTTAGAGAAAAACTGACTATGGATTATTGACAAAGTATTTATAAATTATTCGAACTTTATATGCTTCATAATCATATATTTTTTTAAGCTCAAAAGCTAAAAATTAATATATTAACCGAAGCTGTAGCTCTACTGTTAAAATACCTTCTATTATAATTTTAACACCATTAAGTCTTTAATCTGAAGTATTGTCTAATTCAGCTAAATTTATACCGTGCCTAAATGTTGTATATACGAATATATAAATAAATAAAGTATTATTTGTATGCATTCTCTGCGATTCTAATTAAGCGCGTTAAACATATTATTCCCAACTTAAGCGGAAATCATTATTTACTCACACTTTACATTTTTAATTTTTTGCTTTTAATAAAAATCCAAAAATTTTGTATACGCTGAAAGTATACCACTTTACAGAAGTTTGGATTGTAAAGATCTATGTGAGAAAGATCTTGACAGCGTACTTGCTATGAATGATTAGTAATGAATTGAAGATAATATTAGGAGCGGTTAAAGGGTGTAACGCGTCACTTGCAATGGTTTCTTCCTAAATACGAACATTTCTAAACATATATTTACTTAGCATCAGCAAAATAATAGAAGAGAGTTTCACAAAGATCTGCAGCCTTAATTGTGATGAGAAATTTGTATTTCTCGGGACGGAATTAGTTCAACATAAACAAGTAACAATGAAATGAAAAAATTTTTAGATCGGAGTTTTAAGACACGCATACACGCTATAACTAAATTGGATGAATGGTTTGTGGTAATGCGGTCATGCTCTGCTAGCTTATGTGAGATTGAAATATTTTAACTTCTGCGGCGAAAATTAGTTAGCGTAAAAGCCATCCCTCGTATCCAAGTACACTTTGCTACATGTGATAGATATGAATTAAATTGAGTTTTCTGATGTTTATTAATTAACCTACTTAACACTAAAATTACCAATACCGTACTTTCTGATGGAAGAGATCATCTTGATTTCCTTTTTTTTTTTTTGGCGAAATCGCCACAATCGAAAAAAATGAGGATAGAAAGCTAAAATTTGACTTGATCATTTCTTGAATGTTTAAAAATCTGCATTATAAGATGGCTGTGATGCGTCCACATGCATGCCAACAGTGCAACAGAAACTGAAATAACTTCGATATTCCGTTAAGATATTTCCAGAAACCTGTGACCTCCTGGACTTTCTAGAACCACATGCACGATTGGCGCAAAAATGCTAGCAGCTGATTTACTAACATGCATGCCCTAGCGATTCTAATTTGCTTCCAATTCACTTTAACGCAAATTAGCAAGTTCTTCATTCAACAGCAAATAAATTGGCAATAAGTTGAAATTAAGATGTACTTGTAATATATGGATTACATATGCAAATGTATTTGACGAACATTTAGTTAGCAGATTTTCCGAAATATCTTCACAGGATCGAAAGTTCAAGAGAAAAATATGAAAAAATTAAGATTTTTTTATGGTGGGCGTGTATGTCGACAGATCGACATCATATTTTTGACATTGGATTCTTGATCGACCAGGGAATAGTTTTGCAAATTTCGGTTCTCCACTTTTATTTTTACGACCGTGGTAAATCAACAAAAATAGAAATTATTCCCTTTGGTAGAAACGTATTATATATACATATGTCCCCGACATCTCAAGCACTTGACCTGTTAGAAAAAAATTGATTATAGATATTTGAGGACCTTTTCTTAGAAATAAAAGTCAACAAATAAATTTCGGAGCATTACCTGTGGTTTAACCATTTTTTTGAAGATCGAGAATAACGTATCCGATAGTTCCAGTGTTAAGTATTGCTTGAGAAGAAAGTCGATTTATATCAGCAAAATTCTACATTGCGAAATGTACTCTAGATTGCATTCCAGCTGCACTGTTGCAAAGTTATCGAAGCATTGGCAAACGATATTCTATTTTCCGTGAAAGAGAATAGCACGATTGGAAAAAGTCGCACTTTTTGCAATGGTTTGACACAAATGAAACGGCCACATTTACGACCTAATATAAATGTACATATGTACATCTCTGTTTTGCAATAGGAAGAAGAAATTAAAGCTTTCCTTTCAGGGTGGAATATTTTCATTTTCCATGTAATTATCTATCACCTAAGATCAGCTAGAAATAGGAAGAAGTTATTAAATGAATACGACAAAGTATGTTCTGAATGAATGTCCAAACGTGGCATACAAACTATTTAGATAAATGGGAAGTGAAAAGGTTGAAAAAATGATTCGCCCAACTTGACCTCAAGAGGTGAATCTACTTTGACAATGTCTTCGATGATTCATTAAATGTTCCAGAAAAAAATTTCAAGGACTCAAAAATTCTATTCTTCGAGTGAAGCGAATACAAAAAAATTGCTCAAAACTTTCACATTCAATAAGCGAATTTTGCAATCGATATTTGACGGATTAAAAAATTTTTTTTTACCAACTTCAATACGATTTCGATTTTAAGTCAATACTCTCAAAAAAAAAAAAAAAAAAATGGCAATATTTTATTAAAAAACATTACGATGAAGGTCAAGATACAGTTGAAATTTAAAGTCGTATGATGCCTTGAGCTACTAGCAAAAAAGTCTTCTTAAAAAAGAAATATTGTCTTAGATGAGCTGCTGTGCTACCATCATTTTATTTTTAAATAATTATTGAAAAATAATAAATCACATAAAAAAAAATATTTTGATTGATTTTACATACCCGTATATATGTAATTTAGCGAAATGATTGTAAGCATTTTTTATATAAAAATAAAACCATCTTCAGAACAACTCATGCGGATCACGGAAATCTTCTGTTGATATAAACTTATTTCGATATGAATTCATTTTATATATATATATGTGTATACTTTTCACAGAAGGAGAATCTCAAAACTCCCTTTGTTTGCATAAGATATCACAAATATTTTGCTGACAAATATTTTGTGACAGATAAAAAAACCGGGGACACAAAAGTCGACAAATATTATTGAATAATAAAAGTAAATTTATATTAAAAAGAAGAAAAAAAAAAGGTTTATATGGTACATGAATATAAACGATTTTTACCATTTATACCGCAAAAAGAGAAATATACATATATGCACCCTAATAATATAACGATAGTTAGATAAATAATTAATGGATTAATGCTTTCAAGCAAACGATTGTTGATTAGTATAAGTTTGTCATTAAATTGTTGTAGCAAAGAGGAAATATTTTATTTTATTTCTTTCTTTAGATAGTCGCTTTTTTTACTCCTGATGGCTGTGGGACCCAAAAAAGGTTGTAAAATTTTTATAGTCTTTTTTTTTTTTTTTGTTTTTATAACTTTTAATAAATATCATAAAGAAGTGTTTTAAAATTAAAACTGATGGGCGGAGAAGAAAATCGATAAATATATGCATGTAAAATTTTCATGTTTTACTATAAGACGAATACACTTTAAAACACGACCATTTTTTTGTTATAAATATTCAAAGGAAGAAAAAAAAATAAATAAATAAAAATAATTAACAAAACAAAATATGCTTTTACAAGCCACTTATGTCGCTGTTCTCTCGCTGTGCTGTGCTGTGTTGTGTTGTTAATCTTTGTTTTATTACGCTGTTCAAATTTCGTCGGGAATGTTTGTATTATTATTATTGCTCTGGTTCATAGCATTAATATGATACTCTAAGTGTCTGTATGTACTTGTACTTGCGCTTGTGTGCATCTGCCTATCTACTCCATTGAGCACCATCATCATCAATTGTCCGGTGTATGTTTATACGTACATGCATATGGCTGAAATGCCTTATATTAATTGCCCAGGAAACAAAAAAAAAAAAAAAGAATGTCATATAAAACCCATATATGCTGTTATACGACTCCGCTTATGTACTTCTTTGCATTACGTGGTATAAGACTGTCCCAAGTATGGTGAATGAGAGCTTTATATATATACATATATGTATGAAATAAATAAATTTGCTGCTTTCTGGCAGTTTTATTTGCTGCTAAGCAGCAAAATCTTCTAAAGTCATGTCCAGATGATAATCTTTGTTGACTGAAGCTAAGGGAAGGCATATATCCAAAGCATAAATAAGCTCATGGTCGTATGTAAAGCAATTTGATGATACTGATGATATATATACATAAAATATATATTTTATTCAGGCGAATTTTTAATAAATATATAACTACGAATCTCTTCCAAATTCATATATCTTTCATTTCATTTTTTTATATATTTCAACGATAGACTTTTAACCCTTCTTCTATTCTTATGTCAATAAACAAAATTCCTTGCCTTGAATGACAGACACTGAATAGGTTGACAATGAGAAATACTTGGTAGAGAAAATGATGTTGAAAAAAAATGCCGGTTACGTTAAACTCACCTTTTGATAACAGCTTTGGCGGCATCTGAATAGATCCTTAGAACCTACGGTCTGAGCAGCGATAAATCCGAATAGCGTAATGGCAGTAAAGACCATTAGGTTTGTATTTAACTTTTGCATGGTTAACATATTTATATATTTTTTTGGCTTTTTTCCCTTCGCACACACAGTAACACTTTGTTCACTTTATCTCTTAAGAAGAAATTTAAAACAAGAACACGCAAGAGCTTCTAATGCGCAGATCAAAATATTAAATCGGTTTATATATTTAATTAATATTTTTTTTGCAATTAACCAAACTCTAATATTCTTTTTAAGTAATAAAAACACTTTCTAATTTTGAATACTTTCTGAAATTTCTTTTTATGAACTTTTGATATATATTTTTGCTCTATATGTGTTTTTGTTTTTTATTTATTTATTATTATTATTATTATTATTATTTTTCCATTATAGCTGAAATTATTTCATTTTGAATTCATATTACATTTGTTTTGGAAATTTTCACGTAAATTTTTGCGAAATATCACTAATAAGGGAACAGGTAACGTGTATCTGTTCATTACACGCTTTAATCACTTTCCGCTTGCAACCTAAACACTCAAAGACAATATTTTAACTAACTTTCATTATGGCGGAGACGAAACATTTTAACACTTCATCTTTCAGAGATAGAATGATAGAATATATATGTGTTGACGTTTTGAAAAATACAATAAACAAACCCAAGCGCACATGCTTGCAACATGAACCGAAACCATATACGTTAATGCCTACATTAAGCCATGTTGGTACTAATATAATATGTAAGATAGAATAAGGGCTAGTGAATGTTCGATGTTTGAGTTTGATAGCGGATTTGAATGTTTTCAGTTGCTAAACGCTAGCAACCCGGTCGTGCAGATTCGATGTACGCTATATATGTATGTTTTAAGCACTAAAGCAGCAGGCAAGCGCGTATCTCGCATATCTCGCATATGCAGACAAAACTTTAAAAAAAGAAAATTCAAAACAATTGCATTTCTATTAAAGTGATTGTGCCGAAAAATTGAACATGCAACATGTACATTTACGTTAGGAGAATAATAGGTTCGAAGGTGAAAAACAAAGCGACATTGTTTTCTCTCTATTTTCTTTCTTTATTAAAAAAATGTAGCATTTTTATAAACAGAGCATATATATATTTAAGCACTTTTTGAAGTTTTTTTTTTTTTAGTTTTCTTGTGTTCCGGAAAATTTATCGTTTATTAAGTAAATTAAATTTTTTTTATGAATTATTAAATTAAACAGATGGTATGTTTCTTTTGACGGCAGCATTTTGAGAAGGCTATTACCGGTAGTTGCTGCCTATTCTATTGGAAAAATCAACACAATCGAAAATTTAAGGTAAATTAGCTTTTCCATGTACATGAACACTTTTGAAATTGTATAGATCGATGAAAGAGTTCTTGTAGCAGCTGCAAGTTCATATTAGCGAATGCAAGGCTACCAACACGGTAATGCTCTCAGAATGTTTAACTTTTGTCTGCATAGAGTCGAAGGTTTTTTCATTTTCATTTTAAAGTAAATTGTGCGAAATTTTTGAAAAGTTTTCAACTTAATTAAGTAAAATATATGCCATTACAACGGATACTATAAAAAGTGCTTTATTCTAAAAGGGGTTAAAAGGGAAAAAGTCAAGATATATAGGTGCTATACTTTCGTTATCTATTTTACCATTACATGTTGCATCACTCCATTTTATATATAATTATTAGCACGTGTTTTGTTTGCTGTTGAGAATTTGCCGTATTCTGGAGACCATATTTCTTTTCACTTTTTTATAGATAGTCACTACGCAAGCGTTAAGAAATGTAAATAGAACAAGTTTTAAGATGGATGAAACCAATTTAAAAATTACTTACCATAAAACCTTCTCACAAATGATAACACAAAGTAGTTAACATAAAATATAGTCTGTCGCAAAACATAAATTATAAATAAAATTTCAGCGCCAAGCAAACAAACACGAACATCAAACCAGAAACAACAATTACTTTAATATGAAATTAATCCACCTGAGTGGCCGAGTAGGCAAGAGTCTCGACTAGCAACTCAATGGTCGTGGCTTTAAATCTCAAGTGCGATAGAGTTTTTAATAAAGCCGAAAGCCTTAGATGCTGGTGTTTTAAGACTTTAGTCTTAGAATTTGTTCTCTGGCTAAGCTTATAATAATAATAATAATTATAAAATATGAAAGCATTAAAGGAACAAGATGGTTTGACAAGCATTCGATATACGCAGAGTGGTTGAGAGAACAATCTCATTGAAACATCGTATCTGTTTAAGAAGTTCGTGGGTCAATTCAATCTCCGAGAGTATGAAATCGAACATTTTTTATATCAGTATATGCTCTATTCATTTAAAACGAAGTTCGAAGAGAGGAGAAAAATTCGAAATATCCCTCTTCAAACTCATTTCATCAAACTGGCTGGAAGATAATTATGTGTGTGTTTATGTTACACTTGCAATACAAGGTTTTAGTTCGAAAGGCGTTTGTATTTTATAAGCACATGGTATAAGTAAAATGGAGATTTTTGGCTTGAGAGGGGCGACTCTCTTCATGCCGTTGCGGTATGTAAAATGTATGTTGTATGATTTTGTTATTGATGTTTACAGGTCTTTCAAACAAAAATGGTTCATGTTCGTCGGTCGTAAAGTTTTCAAACAACCACCGAATGTTTTAAAGAATTCTACGACGAAGCTTCAAACTCTACATTGATTCGTAGATTTAACAGTTTGAAATGATTCTAATGTCTGTCAAATTAACATTTTATCATTTTAGATATAAAATACAAAGAGTGGGAAAGTGTCCGCTCTGAAGAGATCTCTCAAGCCTCTAAAGGCAATAAAATGAAAGATGTGATTTGCTTAATTGAAGGCGTATCAATTGATCACTAAAAAATTGTTTGCCCAACTCTGATAAAATATATGCACAAAAATTCAGGCCATTATTTGTGTTACGTTATTAGTTCGATTCTATTTGTTTATTTATTTATTTATTTTTTCCAAATTGTTGTGCAAACTAAGTTACTTAAAGCTAATTTATAGTAGTTACATAATAACAATAATAAAAAAGTTAAGCGAACATTTTTATTAATTTTTAAAATTTTGGGCAACAATCTTCTTATTAAATGTTTCCTTAATAACGAAACGCTTTATAGCCGCTCGTAAATTGCATAACAAATTAATATTGTTACGAAAATCCCAAATTCAGTTAAATTCAACTAAGTAATTTTCCCTAATAATAAATTCCCTAAAGAAGGAAAAACCAAAGAAGCATTCGAAGGCGCCTCATGTAGCTGCAGGCCGATGAAAACGATTAGCGGAAAAGCAAACAAGTAAAAGCTAAGTGCACATTCGCAGGCTCGTCATGCAGGCGCAGGCCGATGAAAACGGTTACAGGAAAAGCAGGCTGGGACTATAAATAAAACCATAAATTTAGGTATAGTAATATTCTTGTGAAATTGTATATAAGTACAATATTTGTGAAAAGTAGAGTTAGTCCGGCAAGAACGTAGAAGTTGAGAGTACGGCCAAAATAAATTGTAAATAAATATTCCTACTGTTGTGAAAGACAAAGTAGTAAAATAAAAGAACTTTGAAGTGCATTTCTCTTGATCAAAATATCCACGATCTAGTGATACGGGGACTGTATCTCATAAAAGCGAATTTCATAACAATATAATAGGCTAAAAACCAAAAAGTCAGCAATGTGGTCTTATTTCAAATAGCGTATAGGTCATAACTTATTTTTATTTTTTTTATAATAAATCATCCAAAACAGCTAACAATTTATTTACGAGTTTTCTGGCAGATTTATGTTTGCATTAACCAAATAATACACAACTGTAGACAACGTTTGACAAACCTTGTGATACAAATTTTCCTTTGCATAAATAATATTTTAAAAATACTTTGAAAAAAGAAGGTTAAGAGAATTACTCCTGTAACTGAAAAAGCGCTTCTGGTTGACGCCCAAGCATATGGCTCGCTATAATTGTGAACTTGAAAAACCTCTTTAGAGTTAATTAATTAATATTTTCTAAGCGTTTCGTATCCTTAACAATTTCTGCAGAAATTCGTTGTTAACAAAATGACCTGTTAAACCAACAGTCTATAGGAGTTCAACTGCATTTCAAATCCGAAAACTCCTTCTTGTTCAAATATTAGTATAAAGTCTTAGGCAATTGCACGAATTTTGTTTATTTATTTATTTTTTCCTTCTATTCTACCCAAATCACTCATTCGAAATGGCATGCATAAAACCAATTTTGCTTATAGTTCACCGTTTACTGTTGGCAAGCGACATTAAATTGTTTTTCACTTTTGTTGATTTGTTTATATATAGTTAGCAGAGAAGAAAATAATTTTGCATTTGCATGACGGTCCGCGCAGTATGGCAAACACGCAGGAAGGTATTTATAAAAATCATATTATTCACAAGGGACTTATTTCATAGGTTGAAATGAATGGTACGTAATGTTAGCACAAAGAACAATTTTTTGTATAAAGAAAAATTAACGGCAAAGTATTTTTTGCATGCAAAATATATTTATGCATGAAGCTTGAACGCCTTTCGAACTAAAAGGCTCGAAAGAACTTCTTCATACATTATGTGTGAGAATGCAAAAGTAATAAAAATTTATAGACTATTACTTATGAATACGCATATGTGTTTATCTGCCATCTTTTGTTTGATGCTGTTGAAGTTTGAAGGTCATATTCTACAGTTGACTATCGTTTAGTTTTTATCACGAAAGCTTGATTATGTTTCAAAAAACATTTCTTTCTGCCATTTGATGGAGTATTTCGCATTATAAGTAAAGTCATGCGATCAGTCATTTTTAAACATTTTGGTAATCATATCGTAAATTCGTTCTTTTCACCTTTAATCGACGTACAATACGTTTCATTACTATTGTCATAGTTAGCATAACCACATATTACAATTAAATTAGGACATTTGGGTCGAACGTTTCGTCAGTTCAGTGACACAAACTTAGTTCATTCAGTAATCACATTTCAATCATAATCTAACTTGGCTTATATAGTTATAGATGAAAATGAGAACCCAATTAATTTTCTTAATATATTCATGATTTACATAAGACAAACGTCTCGCGTACTTGAAAACCAGTTTTTTATAACAAATAAGAGAGAAATAATATTAAATTTATTGCAAATGGAATGCAAAAATTCGTTTGTTTGAACAGGAGTTTATGGTTATGGTCGTGAGCCCAACAAGAAGATAGATAATAAAAGCTAGGTGAAACGTGGTCCTATGTGTTTGA